CTATGTGGGAAACGAATATTTCGAGGCATTACATAATAATTGGCCCAATAAAACTTATTATACATATTGTTGGGTATAAATATTTGAATCTACTTAGGGTAGGATTCGGAGTCTCTTCGAAGTGGATTTCCTCAAAGTAATTTTTTAAAATTTGTTTCCTTACTTCCAATCCTTTTGAATATTTTTCATCTCTCTGAAAATGTCGCAACTGAAGCAATCTCTCTCCACATCGTCATACTCCAAAAACCTTTGTTTTTATATTACAAAGCCATTAATGTAGAACAATACGCCAGGGGATAAACAGAAGTACAAAAGGACAAACATTCACACTCATACCCATACGCATGTTTCCCTTGTGTTAGCCCTGTGGATTGTTTTAAATTTGTCTCAACTCGCTACTTCCGCAACATTTTTATTATTGTTACTGCAGTGGTTTAACAACGACCGTCGTCGTCGGCGACCATTTTAGGGTGGTTAAACCGATGTTTTCTTGGGTTTACACATGTTCGCATTACAAGCCATTTTAAATGAAATAAATAAATGTTTTCATTTTAATTTTTAAGTGACGTTTCATGTTATTCATATGTATATGTGTGCCTTTGAAGATTTCCCCTGACAAAGGGGAAGAAGGTTTTTTGTAATACCGGAATTAAAACATTAAAAAATCATGCACAAATACATAAAAGCTTAGTAGATTATTGAAAGTATGACTGGAAAGAGCAGACGCGTATATCGTCATTTTGGAATTTACCATAAAGAACTATCCTAAATAGGGGGTGGAGGAAGTTCCAAACTATTCCACAATTTTTGAAATTTTCGGATAAAGATTTTTTGAAACTCTTATATTTTAGGACTCATTTGGTCGGACATTTTAACAGTCAAAAACATATCATTGGAGAGGTCTGGTTTTTATACAGGTCAACAACATTTTTTGGGGGTATTATAAGTTTGATTGGGTCAAAAATTAGTAACACCTCGAAATATTGGTTTCCTACATAGGAAAGTATATATGGATCTTCCTATCCCGCTGAGCGGAGTCGATCTAGCTATGTATGTTCGTCCGTCCGTCCATGTTAATTTGTAATCTCGCTACAGGTCGCAATTATGGCCCGATCTTTACGAAATAGGATATAGGTCAGAGTAGAAGCCTACTGCCTTTGGAGATGATCGCATAATATTTAGAGGTTGAAATGAATCAAAAACTGATAAATTTCCTGATTTTGCAGTTGATCTACAGGTCGCAATTATGCACCAACCGGCGTGGAATTTAGCAAGGGGCTAGTGCTTAGGGCTGGGCAGAAGTCTTCAAATTTTGATGGTCATCGGGTAATATTTAGTGCGTGGCATTTGTGTTGAATAATAATCAAATTTTCCATTAAAACGCGAATATTTTGAATCCTGGCAAAATCACAAATATACGAAAAGGTCAATTCTGACCGTTTGTAGATGCCGATAGTAAACATATCGGATATGTATACCGAAATATATAAATAACTTATACTTATACGAAATATACAAAAGGCGAGCTTCTGGCTTTTTTATCCTGATTTCGTTTACAAATATAGCCAAATATCGTAGACAAGCAAATAAAATAGATGAGACTAAATTAGATTATATTTAGTTCAAAAACGGATCACAACTTTCGCGTGAAATTTTTTTCAATACCTAACAACTCGACGGAGTACGTAAATATTGGGCAAATGCTACCCGAAGCTAATGGGAACATCTGGGCAGGGCTCTACGACATCAAATCTTCCAAATGGATTGGGACCTAAGGGGACTTCTAATATATTGTAGTGTTGTAGGGTATCACATGGTCGGTTCCGCACGACTATAGGCTTTACTTACTTGTTTTCTATAAAAGAATAAATTTTCCAACATTGATGAGGGATTATATTCTCTTGAATAGAATTATTTTTTCTGGAAAAAATTCAAAATTCACTAAAACAATTTTTTCCGATAAGTGGGGGTTTCCTTTTCGTTCCAAAACAATTTTGTCTCTGAATTTCTTCTATAGAAGTTTTTTTTTTCCGAAGGACAAGGGATTTTTTATAAAGAAAGACTAGGATTTTTTTTTAACAAAAACAATTTATACTTAGTGACAGGAAATTTTTTTTATTGACAAAAAATAATTTCGTAAAAAATCCGAATCCCTTTCTATAGGGAAAATGCGTTAATAAGAATTTTTCTACTTAAAAAAATCCCGTCATTGGGAATTTCTTTCCGAAAAAATGTGTACGAGTGACTAGGTATTGCTTCCATATGACATCAGTTGTCTCCAACAAAAAAAGTATTCTCAGTGACTGCAAAATTTTAAAATTGGGAAAAAGATTTCCTGGAAGGAAAATATACTGAGGATACTTTCTATAGGGAAAAATTATCTTTGAGGGTTTTTCTAAGTTCATAAAAAATATAAACTATTGGAAAGAACTTGATACATATTCACCTTCATAGTGACCTTGTTCTAAGAAGGTAGAATGTTAGTTCCCAAAAAAAAAAAAACTATTGTAAAATTTCTGCTCAAAAAAAAAAAAAAAAAAATATTCTTAATATATATATTCTAAATTCTAAGACGATTGTAATCACGCTAGAGTCAAAACGAATAACAATAGGAAGCTAAAATTTTGCACAGAACTGTCTTTGGTATGCAGGCAGGCCTAGTTCGAATATGATGATTTTAGCCACATTTTCCAACGGAATTGTCTGAAAATACACACAAGGAGTTTTTTCTGAGTACTTTACCCCCTGGAAGATTATTATCTATATAGGTCCACGATATCGCATATCCCCTATATAAAGGTACATTCCGATATTTGGTATATTGATGATTTTAGCTAAATTTTTCAATGGAACTGCCTAAAAATCCATACTAGAAGTTCTTTGCAAGCACTTAATCCCTGGAAATGTCTATCTAGGTCCACACTATTGTATAGCCCCCAATATAACGGTACCCGCCGATATACGATATTTTGGCGATTTTTGGGACATTATTTACCGTAGTTGTTTCAAATTTCGTATTTAGGATTCGAATTGCAGTCTATGACTAAAAATTGTCTATGCAGGCCCAGATCTTCGTATAGCCTCCATATAACGGCTCCTCCCATTATTTGCTATTTTGATGATTTAAGCGTCATTATTCACCGGAGTTGTATCAAACTTAATATTTAGAGTTAGTAATTGTCTATGCAGGCCCAGATCTTCGTATAGCCTCCATATAACGGCTCCTCCCATTATTTGCTATTTTGATGATTTAAGCGTCATTATTCACCGGAGTTGTATCAAACTTAATATTTAGAGTTAGTAATGGGAACTGCAGTCTATGACTAAAAATTGTCTATGCAGGTCCAGGTCTTCGTATAGACCCCATATATCAGTACCTCCTTATATATGGTATTTTGATGATTCTATTAATTTATTTTTCTTCAACGGATTTTTTTCATTTTTCGTATTTGAATATTGTAATGGCTTATGACAAAAGTTGCCTATTCAGGACCACTTCTTCGTATAGACCCCAATATAACGGTTATAATCAATATTTTAAAGATTTTAACCGAATTTTTAACGGATGTGTTATCCTTTTGAAAATTTCCAAATTAACACCAAATGGTGGAGGGTATTCAAAGTTCGAACTCACTCCCTTTTTTGCTTGTTACCCTCCAAAAAATTAAATTCCAGTCTGCATGAAAAAAATTCAATATTTTTGCTTGAAATATTTTTTTCTGAGCCTTTGAACCTTGTTATCCTCCAGAAAATTAAATTCCAGTCTGCATGAAAAAATTCAATATTTTATCTTAAGATAGTTACACCCAACACCACAAGGTGGTCAGGGTATTATGTCTTTGTGCATTTGTTTGTAACAGGCAAGAGGAAACGAGATAGACCCATAGTTCCTTTTGATGATCTGCATAGAATCCCTTTCTGAGTTGATTTATGCATGTCAGTCCGTCTGTCCGTCCGTCCGTCTGTCCATGTATTCTTGTGAACAAAATGCAGGTCGCATTTATTATCCGATTGAGATGAAATTTTGCAAACACCATTTGTTTGGCCCAAGGACGAACCCTATTGAAATTGGAGATAATCGGTAAAAATTTAGATATAGCTCCCATATATATCTTCGTCCGAAATTGGGTCAGATATAGCTATAGCTCCCATATATATTGTTCATCCGATTTGTTATTTTTGTCCTCCGCAGCCGTAATATGCACTCTGTAACATTAATATTTGGGGAAATATATAAAATGCAGCTCAGAAATAAATTTTATAGAGATCGGTTCAGATTTGGATATAGCTCCCTTATATAACTACGTCCGATTTACCATTTATTGTGCACCAAACGTCTAATATTTGTCCAAATGGGATGGAATTTGGCACATACGACCGAATTTAGTCTAGAAGGTAGTATGCCAAATTTGGTGAAGATCGGTTCAGATATAGTTATAGCTCCCATATATATTGTTCATCCGATTTATTGTATTTGTTACCCACAGCTGTAATATGCACTCCGTAACAACGATATTCAGGGAAATATATCAAATACAGCTCAGAAATATCTTTGCCAAATTTTATCGAGATCGGTTCAGATTTGCATAAAGCTCCCATATATATTTTTATCCGATTTCAAATTAATTTCGCACCAAGTGGGCAATACAAGTCCGAATTTAAAAGATACAAATGCTTCGGCATATTTAGTCTTTTGAATTTTAAATTATAATTATAATCATAGCGTGTATGATTGAATTCTCCCATAAAAACTTTTGATTATTAAGTGGAGCTCAACTAAATTAGCAAAGTGGTGTAGGGTATCATAAAATCGGCCCCGCCCGACTTTAGGACTTTCTTTACTGGTTTTTTCTGAGCCTTTGAACCTGTTACCTTAAATTCGTATTGTTTTCTTCCACGTCTTCATATTCGAATAATTAAATTGAGATAACATCGATATAAAACAAACATAATCTAATTTATATTTTTCTTCTTTTTTCCTTTGTCATTTGCAGGTAATATCTTATCAATATATAAACAATTTCCAATATCCGATTCAGGGTGGAAAAACAAATAAATAAACATCTTCTGGAGGAATGTGAGCCAAGGAAAAAAATAATAAATACAGCAACAAATATATCATCAATCACAAGCAAGTGAATTACAGAATTTGTTTTTTTTTATTCCAACTCACAAAAGCAAAAAAAAAATTCTAATAGAATTTTACTCGAAACAAATTCAATTTTTATGCGAATAAAAAGAAATTTAATTATCAGGAAAAATACATATATATGTTTGAATATTGTTTTTGAGAAAATTACAAAATTTCGAAATTCAAAGGAAAAAGAAAAAATTAATTACCAAACAAAAACACACCTTCTTCCACACACACCCTCCGGTTTCTTGGTGCTAGAGAAATATGAAAATATGGGGAAAAAACTTCAAAGAGAAGTAAAAAACATTGATTGAATTAAATAAAGTTTTGCCATTACTTGGCGAGCAAAGGAAAACCTCAAGACGTCAGAAGAAACGTGCAGGCGGCGGAAATGGGAATGGCTTAACAAACAACAGTAATGAGATGATGACGATGGCAACAAGGATGTCAACGCCAAAGACTAGCAACACAATGATGACAAACATTGGAAATTCTATAATACCTCCCAATTATATGGATGTTGCCGTTGGTTCCTCCTCTGGTTCTGGTTCTGCTTCACACTTCACCACACGCTCTTGTAAAATTCATGTAAATAAAAAGAAAAGGAAACAAAATATTAAAGAAAATTTTGTAAATAATTTAAGCGGCACCGGGGCAGGCAGTGGGGATATTCGCATATTCAAAAACAACAGCAACAACAACAACAGTACTAGGGCTCCGAATGGTAACAGCACGACAAATATTAATAACAAATGTTCTATAAACAATCGGGGGGATTGCCATGAACGTGGCATGTATGCGATGGCAACAACATTTTCATTATTATCACCAACACCACTACCACCAACAACATCCGAACCAGAAGCAACAACTGGTGCACACAGCCGCACAGCAATGCCAGAGTCTGGTTTACCCACAGGAGCAGATACAGTACCAACTTATATTAGCGGAAAAGGAAACTGCGAAACAGTTCAATTAAATTCGAAACAAAGCAAACAATGCCAACAGTTAGCTGCCGTTGCTGCTACAGCTACTAACTGTAGCAAGGCAACGCCATGGGAGCGTGAAGATATATTAGCCTCCCATGAACACGAACTACTACAGCTAGGTGCAGATGGAGGAAATGCAACACTCGCTGAGATGGTTAGCAAAACAAGGAGGAGGAGCACCACCACCGCCACCCTCACCTATTCGGAAAATATACATTCGACACCAGCTTGTTGTTCACAAACTACGGCCACATCCCGCACACCGGCCCGGTGGCCCTTTTCAATATTACGCCAGAGCCTGCAATACGCCTCCTCTACAGTAACAGCAGCAACATCTACATCATCAGTGGCAACATCAGCATCAGCGCCAGCACCAACTACATGCAATGCAGCAGGCCCAACCCTAGGGAATAAACTATTTCGTGGAATACTTATGACATTGTTGGTGCTCAGCGTATGCCACAATAATGGTAAGTTTTGTAGTTTCCATTTTCATTTTCATAAGCGTAATCAAAAACAAAACGAAAAAAAGGTAAAATAAATTTTACATAAATTGTTGTTAGTTTTGGGGTTCGGCAAGGCAAAACACACACACCCACGGGGCGGGATGAAGTTTTTAATCAAAATTAATTTGTTTATTTATTATTTTTGCCAGTAAATGGGAAGGAAACTGTTTCTGGAATTTAAACCTTTTAATGGAAGTGACAATTTCAGCACAGTATGATGGACATTTTTTGGACTAAGATAAGGGTCTTGAGCCATAAAGTGGGGAGAAAATTACATTTTTTATTACGTTTGCAACACTTCAAAATATTGATATCTCGATAGATATCTCCCTATTACATATAGAGCTCGACATTATTTTTATAACGTTTTGTCCATTTTAACTCATAGCCTAGGATGTTTGGTCCAAGTTAACGTTACCCCCCTGATTTTTTGTATTCTGCTTCATTCTTCACCCACAACAGCTATAATTTGACATTTCAGGTTCTCAGCGAGTATTGCTCGCCAAAATATTTAAAGGTTTCGGTCATAATTTCCAACCATATCAGAAGTAGTTCAATATTTCGGATTCTTTGTGAGTATATTACTTTATCTCAAAAATACTCAAAATTTTTAGGGATTTTTTGAAAGGCTGATTAAGTCATTAATAAATATTTCACATGGTGGAGGTGATAAAAACTTCAGTCGGTCGAACTTAAAGTCGTTTTCATACCCTCAGCCATATGGCTTCAGTGGGTATATATCATTTGATGTGGCCTAAATGACCCTAATTGAAATAATGTTTTTAGACCCCAGATCTCTTTGAACCAAATCCATTTCAGGATATTTGGAGTCGATCTAGGGGTGTCCGTGGGTGATTCGCACGATAACTCTCGAAACAAGTATCCGATTTGTTCCAAATTTAATATAATATCAAATAATATCAAATTATTATAAAATCAAACTTGATTGAATTCGGAGATGGGAAATATCATTCCACTCCTTTTGGTACCTCCACCATAAAAGGTCAACATTTTCAAAGAAAATAATTTACCTCTTGAAACAAGAAAGGTTTTTCTAATTTTGTTTAAATTTGCAAATCCTAATATTTTCATCAGCGCTGGGTCAAGTGCGAAAATGGGCAATATCGGTTCACTACATCAAGTACCTCTCCCACAATGGGTCAACATTTTGAATAATTACAACTCTTACAAAATGTGATGTAAGAGTCCGATTGTCTTCAAATTTCACACATCACAACATTTTTATTAACCAAAGATCTGGTGTGAAGATGGAATATATCGGCGCACTCCTTTTGGTACCAAAACGCAAAATTTAACATCCGATTTCATTCAGACTTGGCGCATCTCAATATCTTTATCAACACAACACCTGTTATAAAGATGGTAGAGATCGGAACATTTCCTCTGGCACCTCCTCCACAATTGTGCTCATAAAACGCGAAATTAATACCCGATTCCATTCAGACTTGGTACATCTAAATATTTCCATCAACACAAGATTTGTTATACAGATACTAGAAATCGGACCATTTTCCATTCTGGTACCTCCCCACGGGGTACAAATTTTGACATTAAAGCGCTCAAAAAAATTGAAATAAGCCTCCAACTCTCGTTTTTAGTTTCACACATACAAACATTTTTGTTAACACAAGATCTGCTGTGAAGATGATATAAATCTGCGAAACCAGTCTGGTTCCTCACCCACAAAGGGCCACAATTTTCAATACTTTTATCTGGCATAACTTGCGAAACAATTCAGCGATACTTTACAACTTGCCATATCTAAATTAAAATTATAAAAAAAAATTGAAAAACGAAATTTAATAAAAATTAAAAAAAAAAGTAAAGAAAATATTCGATATAGTCCAAACCTGTCACGCCCCAATATTTATATCATATTTATTTAGGTCCGTTACGGAATGGTCAATATTGGCCCATTCCTTCGAAACCTACTCCATAGAGGGTCAACCATGTAGATAATCATAACAGAAGTCAAAATATATCTAAATCATGGAACATTGGCTGAGGCTATAAATGCCTTAACAAAACTGACTGATACGTTTTAAGTTGCTTTTACTTGTTTTTATTTAAAATCCTAATAAGCAGAGGGTTTCGTCCTTGAACAATATTTTGAATAATATTTTTCCCAGAAAGTCCCTGAGTTGCTGGAGTTTCAAGCGTGATTTTTTAAAGAATTTCTTGGAGGACTATTTCCGCATTTCAAGGATTTTTTTGCAGGACTCATTAAGCTTCAAAGGTGGATTTTTTAATGAATTTTGGACGCCTATTTGCAAAAAAAAAAAAATATATATATAAGGACTACGTGTGAAAGATCAGCTCCAAACATGGATATTTCATATACTTTTTGGAGAACTATTTGAGCTCTTAAGAAAAATTTGTAAACGAATTGTAAGAGAAACATTTAGACTTTAAATTTGAATATTTTTCAAAAAAGTGCATGGGGGACTACTTGATTGCCAAATGGGTATGTTTTAAATAAATTTCTTGCAGAGTTATTTAGGTTCTGAATTTGATTTTATAAATACTATTTGAGCTACCAAAGCAGTCAAATTTATGTGTGTAAGATTTTTTTTTGGGAGAGATATATCAGCTCTATATATGGATAATATTGATTTTTTAAGAATTTTAATTTTAGGAATTTTTCTAGGAATCTAGATGATTTTAACCGAGGATTATTAAAATAAGTACTTGAAATTATCTTCTTAAATTGATGTTGGTAGATTATATGAGTTCTAAATGTGAATTGAAGTTTTTTAAATCTGGATATTCTAGTTTTTTTAAAGGAATATTATAAGATTTTTAAATAACTTTTTGGAAAGAAATTTTCGAAGGATTATTTAAAACTCAAATATTTCTTTTATCCCCCGACTTGGACTTTTAAATATTTTTGGAGGACTATTTGTGCTCCAAAGTGGATTTTTTTTACTTTTTTCGAGGATTACTTTAGTTCCATATTTAAGTTTTTTTCTAAGATCTTTTTGAGACCTTATTGACTTCCATACGTCGATTTTTGTTAAGAATTGAGCTATTTTAGGTACAAGCCTTGATTTTTTCAGATTTTTAAAATATAATTTTAGCACCAAACCTGTATTTTTTAAAGATTTTTTAGGAGGATTTTTTGAGTTCAGAGCTTGGGTTTTTTCTTTGAACTCTTAACGTGGATTTTAAATAGTTTCTTTTGGATTTATTTTAAATTCGACTTTGTTGACTACTATTTGGAGTACTAGGTAACCTTCAAATTTGAATTTTCAAAATATTTTTTTCAGACAATTTAAATTAAAAAAAAACATAGATTTTTTTTAGAATAAAATATTTTCAGAAAAATGTTTCTAAGAAAAGAAGATTTTTTAAAGAATTTTTTTGAACTTTAAACATGGATTCTCTTAGGATTTTTGTCTTTTAACTCCAAAAACGGTTTTTTTTTTGAAGTATTAAATTTTAGAGGATTGTAAGAATACTACTCAAGTACCAAACAAGTAATTTATGAATCAAAGAATATTTTAGGTAAAACGCAGAATTTTTTGGAGGAAAATTTTGCAGTTAAATATCCTTAGGAATTTCAAACAACATGATTTTTGGTGTGATCGTGGAAACAAGTTTGAAATTATATATGATTTTTGTTCCGGAAAGGACAAAGAGACCTTGAAGCAAATCAGCCTTGATCAATGTCCATAGCGCCAGATCGCCTCCAAATGTCCTGAAACGGATTTGGTCCAAAGAGACCTAGGGTTTGAAACCGTTATTTGGAGCAGGCACGTTTTGGCCGTATCAAATGATATACACCCTCTTTAGCCATACTGCTGAGTGTATTATAGTGACTTTTTCCAGAAAGATAAGAAATTCAAAAAAAAAAAAAACAAAACAAAACAAAAAATAATAATAATAATAATAATAATAATAATAATAATAATAATAATAATAATAATAATCCACGATTTTTGTTTAACAAGACGTTGTAACAAAACTGGTCGGAAAGATTAAAAATTCTTAAAATCCAAAATGTTTTTTTTTTAAAGTTAGACAGAAACTTCTCAAAAAGTTCAGAAGGCCAAAAAGTTTGTAACACCTGTGGGTTTCCGTCCGTCCTTCATCATCATGCTATTGTTGGCAATTTTGGCTCGATCTTCGCGAAATTTTTGAGTTCAAATTGACTAAAAACGGAAAATATTCCTGAATTTGCATTGCCTCTATAAGTCACAATTTGTACGCAGAATTTTGCACGTGGTAAGAGTGTTAGACATAGCATAAGCCAATCGATATAGATGGACATTGACTAATATTTAGAGGCAGAATTGAACCATATTTTTTGTGTAAAAAATACTTTTACGCATATAACTCAAGAATGGCTGGACTTGTTTTGACTATTTTCACCAATTCTGAATGGTGTCTTGGCAGAAAAAGATAAAATCTAACAAAAAAATCGCTGAAAAACATATTAATAAAAATTTGAAAATTGTTTATTTTATTGGTCTTGAAAGAAATTTCTGCTTACGCTATATCCTTGTCAGCCAGCCCAACTATAACCTCTTCTTACTTCTATAATTTCGTTTATTTCCTTCACACATTCTTTTCATACTTGAATTCTTCGAAAAAAATCATTTTTATTCCCAACAGATATTTCCACATACTTGTCATACTTGCTTTAATTATGGCAAAAATAAACCTTCAGATTTAAGTGTGTCCAGCTTCCCTGTGGGACAATGTAAGAATTGTTCACTTTAATTCCAGGGCAAACCAAAGCAAAAACACAATCTTCGCAAAAGTATTTCACAACTCGAGTGGTCGGTGGTCGTTGGTCGTCAGTGCCACATTCCCATAAATTTCTTTACGAAATTGGATTACTTTTTACTGTCTGTCATATCACATCAGCCTGCTGCTGGCAAATCCCAGCAGAACTATTTTAATCATGAAAAGTGTTTCACAATTAATTTAGTGATGTGAAT